GGAGACANAAAAAAAAAAGTTTAAGAAAGAAGATGACACTAGTAGAGCTTGCAAGATGTCTTTGCGGCTAAGGAGACTGTTGCCAAGCCTGAGGACCTGGGCTTAATCCTCAGGACCCACACAATGGGCAGAGAGATCTCCTGCAAATTGTCCTCTGACCTCCACTTGTGTGCTGTGGCACAAGCATGTGTGTGGTGTCTTCAAACCACACATGTGCGCGCACACACAGAGATTATATAACAAAACCTAGGATGCTACAGAGAAAAGAAAGCAGAGTAGCCCAGGTTTCTCTGTACACATCTGTGTAACAGTCCTGGCTGTTCCGGAACTCAATCTATAGACCAGGCTGGCTTTGAACTCACAGAGATCCGTCTGCCTCTGCTTCCCTAGTGCTGGGATTAAAGGCCTGGGCCACCAATGTCTGGCAAGAGCCTTCTTGACACACAACCGTGGTCCCATCTATTTGGGAATTACTTGCATTCAGGAGTTCAGAGGCAAGGCTGGGCAACACAGCAAGACTCCAGGGTTTTAGTTTTGGAGACAGAATCTCATGTAGAGAAGGCTAGCCTGGAATCCAGGAGGTGGCTGAAACTGGTCTTGAACTCAGGATCTTCCTGCCTCCACCTCCCCTTCTTTGAGGATTACTGGTGGCTGAAAACCCTAGTACTGTTAGAGAGAGAGAACCAGCCTGCCTTGGATGTGGTAATTTCATTTTGGTATTCCCAGCACTTGCCAGGGTGAGGTGGAAAGATTGCTAGGAGTTTGTGCCTGGCTGCAGTACACCAGGAGTTTGAGGCAAGCCTCGGGTTCAAAGTCAATCTGGGTGTAGTGTGCAGGCCTATAATTTCAGCCCTTTGGAGGTTGAGGCAGGAGACTGGCGGGAATTATTGGCTATCCTAGCAGTAGAATGAGACACTAACTTCTAGTCCCATCACCCAAAAAAAGGATGAAAAAAATTTTTTTAAGAAGTTCTGGAGGCCGGGCGGTGGTGCACGCCTTTAATCCCAACACTCGGGAGGCAGAGGCAGGCGGATCTCTGTGAGTTCGAGACCAGCCTGGCCTACAAGAGCTAGTTCCAGGACAGGCTCCAAAGCCACAGAGAAACCCTGTCTCGAAAAACCAAAAAACAAACAAGCAAGCAAACAAACAAAACAAAACAAAAAGTTCTGGATGCTCTCTCCTGGACCTCTTCCAGCTTTGCGAGCATGAGACGCGCGTATCCACCTTTGTCCACAGGGAGGCGCTGTGGCTACCGCGGTCTGGCCGCTCTAGGCTGCACCGGCGGCACCGGAAGCTTCGTTCTCCCAGTGCTTCCGCTCTCTACCCGGGCTGGGAGCTGCGTGGAGCTAGATTTCGCGATGCCGACTGGCGATTTTGAGTGAGCATGGGGTGGTGCCGGGCTCTCCAGAGAGGCGGTGCGGGGGCAGCTCTGGGTGTATGGTGGTCTGGGCGGCGCGGGGGCCGGGACCCGCTCACCGATCTCGTGTCCCCGCAGCTCGAAGCCCAGCTGGGCCGACCAGGTGGAAGAGGAAGGCGAGGACGGTGAGAGCTTGTGTGGGCCCCTCCCGCACTCTGTCCCCGGCGTGGACAGAGTCTCCAAAGTCCCCCCACCTTGGCTTGAAAGTTTCAGCCCCGTGGCTCACTTTTCCTCCTCCCTGCATTCTCTCTGACAGACAAGTGTGTCACCAGCGAGCTCCTGAAAGGGATCCCTCTGCCCACCGGTGACACCAGTCCAGAGCCTGAGTTACTGCCCGGAGGTGAGCGGCATCCATCCCTGCCACCTCCCTCCTTCCTTTCTGCCCTCAAGCCTATTCCCAGCCAGTCCCCAGTTCCCAAGACTCAGTTTCTGTCATCGGCCCACAGACCCACTGCCACCTCCTAAGGAAGTCATCAACGGAAACATAAAGACGGTGACCGAGTACAAGATAGATGAAGATGGCAAGAAGTTCAAGGTGAGGTTCAGGTGGCCACAGAGGGTCAGTGTGCCTTCGTCCTCAGGGTCTGGTTATGAGGGATGAGTGTTGATTGGGTTGGCGAGGAAGGCCTTGAGATTCTGGAGGTGCTCCTCTTTCCGTCTTCAGATTGTCAGAACCTTCAGGATTGAGACCCGGAAGGCATCAAAGGCTGTGGCCAGGAGAAAGGTGAGACCCTCCTGTCTTGTTTTGGTGTGTGTGTGGGAGAGGGTCCCCAGGACTGACTCAAGGAGTTGGGAATTAAGGCTTAGGGCCCAGGAGTAGATGAGGTTAGATCCCCCTGCCCCCCGTTTTTGTGTGCTCCTGTGTAGAGTGTCATTCCTCCAGGTCATTCCTCCTGGTTTGTGATGGTTCTCTGTTGTCAGGAACTAGATTAGGCTAGCTGGCCACTATCCGCAGGGATCCTGCCGTCTCTGCCCCCTGTCTGGCCAGCACTGAGGTTAGAAGGACATGCCTCATTGGCCATCTTTTCATTGTGGTGCTCGGGAGTGGACTCCAAAGGGTACTTTCATTACAATTACTTGACTGAGACATAGCCAGCTCTCTTGGGTTTGTTGTTTTGTTTCTTGTTATTTTTGAGAGGTTCTTGTTGTGTAGTTTTCAAATTCTAAATGCTTCTGCCTCAGCCTCCTGGGTCCTGACTTAGGTTCTTAGTCCTTTGTCCTGTCTACCTGAAGGAACAAACAGGCTCCACTTAACCAAGGGCTTCTGGAGGAAAGACAGCAATGCTCTGAGAGCAAGGCTTCATGCCAGGCAGTTAGCAGAGCTTGGCTTCCTGAGGTGTAGGCCAGGCTAGGGAGGCAGGGAGCTTTGTGGTCTCTGTTTACAGAAGTGGGTGAATCTCGGGTTTAGCTAGCTCAAGGTTCCTGTGATTTGCGCGACTCCTGGGCATCCTCCAGCTTCATCCCTGGGGGAGCTGGCCCATGGGCCTGTCTGGAAACTGCCAGCGTCACAGTTGTGTGCCGCCCCACTCTGAATCTCCCTGCTGCCTCCTGGAGTGTTTGACTTGGGGTGACCGTTATGTGCTGCCATGCCTGAGTAGGAGATGGGAATTGTCACCGTTATCACAGTGTAGGATTTGAGGCCCTGACATGGTTGTCTGTCTGGGGTACACTATGGAGTCCTGCCTTTCTTTGTTGGTAACTTCTCCCCACCCTTCTGTGAGCCCAGAACTGGAAGAAGTTTGGCAACTCGGAGTTTGACCCACCAGGGCCCAATGTGGCCACCACCACAGTCAGTGATGATGTCTCCATGACTTTTATCACTAGCAAAGAGGTGAGCAGGGCTGAAGCTGGAGCCCCAGAAGTGCAGTGGGGATGGGGTGGGCCAGCAGCCCCCTCTGAACCACCCTTCCCTATTCTCCACCAGGACTTAAACTGCCAGGAGGAGGAAGACCCAATGAACAAGCTCAAGGGCCAGAAGATTGTGTCCTGCCGCATCTGCAAGGGCGACCACTGGACCACCCGCTGCCCTTACAAGGACACGCTGGGGCCCATGCAGAAGGAGCTGGCTGAGCAGCTGGGCCTGTCCACTGGGGAGAAGGAGAAGCTGCCGGGAGGTGTGGACCTAGGACACCTGGGAGGGGCTTCAGCTACTCCTTCCTGTAGTGTGCTATGTTATTTCTCTGTGGCAGGTTTCAGCAGCCTGTGTCTGGGTGCCCTCATAGACATCTCATTTGCTTGGGGCATGGTGTTCCTGTGTGTGTGTGTGTGTGTAGGCAGTACCCATGTGCTGGGTTCAATGTGACTCTGGAGGTTGAAATCTGATGTGTCTGTAAGTAACTGCCTCTGTGACTTGTATGGAGCTCTCTGCCTGTGTTCCATCAGAGCAGCTTGCAGTCTGTGCTGCGAGGCTCTGCAATGCTGGGCTGGGGGTGCCAGGACCACGTCTGCCCTGTGGTTGTTCACTTTACCCGTGCAGTCAGCAGAGACTTGGAAGGCTGCTAGCTTCCTGGCTGTAACCTTTGGGTCACCAAAGGATGACTGGATGCTTATAGCTTGGGGCTGGGGTGAATGTGACTTGATCCACTGCTTTCCAGAGCTGGAGCCTGTGCAGGCCGCCCAGAATAAGACGGGGAAGTATGTGCCCCCAAGTCTCCGGGATGGGGCCAGTCGCCGTGGGGAGTCCATGCAGCCGAACCGCAGAGGTAAGAGGCTAGGAATAGCCTAGGTAGCAAGTAGACAACGAGACACCCTGTAATTATCCTGCCTTGTGGGCGTGGGGTCTAGCTGTGGCATGTTTCTCACTGCCACCTCACCTTGCCCTGCCCACCAAGCCGACGACAATGCCACCATCCGTGTTACTAACCTGTCTGAGGACACACGTGAGACTGACCTCCAGGAACTCTTCCGGCCTTTTGGCTCCATCTCTCGCATATACTTGGCCAAGGACAAGACCACTGGCCAGTCTAAGGTGGGTGGACTGGTCTGGGGAATGGGTGGCTGGGCATTAGGGGTCCTGGGACCCACTTCTTATCCTCCTCCCCCAACTCTCTGCCCCTGGCCCCCAGGGTTTTGCTTTTATCAGCTTTCACCGTCGGGAAGATGCTGCCCGCGCCATTGCAGGGGTGTCTGGCTTTGGCTACGACCACCTCATCCTCAATGTCGAATGGGCCAAGTAAGACATCCTCCCTGCCCCTCCCCGCTCCCACATCCTCCTTAGCCACTGTGGGTCCTGCCCTAGTTATGTGGTTGCCAGGCCTGTCTGAAGGAAGGTCTTTATTGTGCTCTGGGAAAACACTTTGCCAGACTTGATGCCACTGTTCCTAGGTGGGCAAGGCCTGGGCTTCCCTGGTGTGAGTGTGGAGTCTCAGATCCCCACCTGCATCCTTACCACCTCCCTTCTTTCCAGACCATCAACAAACTAATAAGACACCTGTTGCCTGCTGCTGTCGCCCGGACCCTCAGGGACAGGAAGCTTCCATTAAAGACACCAAATACACTATGTCTTGCTTGTTTTCATGGGTCTCCCGTTTCGGGGGGGAGGGCTCTTCCCTCCTTCAGGCTGTGGTCTTGTAAAGGGATGGGAGGTAGCCTCCACTGGTGAGGTTGTGGGGGGACCCTTGCTACTTCAGGGCTGTTGTCTCAACCATCTTCTGGCGAGGAGGCTTCAGTTAGATGGGTCATGGGCTCAGCTGGCCTTGGTGAGTAGTTGTACCTGCTACAGGCAAGTCTTGGCGAGGGCTCTTGTCCTCAGGGTTCCGGTGGCATGGGTGGCAGTCCAGGCTGGGTGCCACTGCCATGTAGACCAGGGGGTGCATGCATGTAGCCAGGGGCACAAGGATGCGTGTTGTCTGGTAGCCAAAGAAGGCCCTCAGGTCCAGCTCTGCCACAGCCTGTGACACACTAGTGAAGTTGGGGCAGCGAGCCGTCCAGTGCAACATGGCGTCCACATGGATCACTCGTGTGATGTGGTAGGGCACATAGGAGCAGGCATAGAGAGCCACACCACTGGTCACCAGCACTACCACATGTAGCTTCTGGGCTGTGGTCATACCTGGGCTGCGCAGTACCACCCACCCCAGTGCACCGTAGGCCATTAGTGTGAGCAGCAGAGGCAGGATGCCTCCCAGGCATGCCAGCACCAAGCTGTAGGTTCTGAAGGCCCCTAGCTGGCTGTCCTCCATCATCCCCAGGCACTTGACACAGGCCTCAGGATTGAGCCTACTACATGTCCCAAGGTCTGACTGGGGCTCCTTCTGGTGGGAGAAGCCAAGCATGGGGGCCGCCAGCAGGATGGCCATGGCCCAGCTGGCAGCAGTGGCAATCCAGGCATGCTTGGGTCGCAGGTGTCTCCGTGTAAAGAAAGGGTGTACCACCACCATGTATCTGCTGAGGCTGATGCAGGTGATGAAGAAGATGCCACCCAGCAGGTTGCAGGTGAAGACAAAGCGCTCCAGACGGCAGGCCACCTCCCCAAAGCTCCAGTTTTTTGGTGGGTAGAAGTAGGCTGCTAGAGGAGGCAGTGTGAGTGCGTAGCACAGGTTGCTGACTGCCAGCTGTACAGAGAACACCACAGCTGGGTGCCAGGGCCTTTGCTCTTTGGTGATAAAGCGGTACAGGGCCAGGCCATTGCCCCCTGCCGCCACCAGGAACTCTGCCATCAGGATGGCCCAGAGGTAGCCCTCCTGAAAGCGCCTGTACTGCTGGTCGGCAGCTTCCACATATTTGTCCAGACAGGGCTTGGTATCTGTAGGCAGAAGTAACATTTGCATGCATACCAGTTCCGATGCAAGCAGGTGTGGGCTGCTGTGCAAATGCAGCCATGCAGGTCCCCACCTGGAAGGGCCAGCCTAGCTTCAGGTGAAATGGGTCAGGGTCACGCTCAGTCTGGTTTTGAGACAAACTGGGGCAGCCCCAAGAGCCTGTACTGAGTCTGCACAGAAGCCTGCCATCACCACCCAGGGCTATTCTCACCACACTGCCCTGCCGGCACCAACCAGCTGTGGTTTAACCAGAGGGTACCCAGATCCCGGTCAGGGGCTGCACTCAGCTTTACCATCTCCCAACAACTCCACCCAATCCCAGAGCCTTGCATTGTTCCCGCACAGCCTCTTCAGATACTCAGTGCAGAGGAACAGCTCTGAGTAGGCCACCCCAAACTCCTACCACAGACCCCGATTGCTTAAAGACCTGTCTCTTAACTGGCCCAGTGCTAGTTTACCTGAGAGGGAAGCCATGGTGCTTGCAGCAGTAGCTCTGAGTTACACAGGCACCTCCTGGGTTCCCAGCAGTGTGGCCACTGGTTCATCTCAACTTGCACAGCCAGTCAGGGTGACACCTCCCACCTAGCCCACTTCCTCCTTGTACCATCTGGGCTGGGCCTGTCTCTTGGCCAGTCACAACTAAGTACTGTTAGCCCTGTCCCCACCCCAACCAGAGAGTGAATTCAAAAAGTGCCAAGTTCAAGTTTATTGGAAGAACTGGATAGCTCCTTTATGAAAGGAAACCGGGCTACACTGGAGCCCAGGGCAGCTCTCGGGCCCCAATCTGGGGCATCTATGGATCATCCACTGCCAAGCAGCCTCAGGTTCTTGATGGTAGACCCGTGTCCTGGCGTCTGGCTCTGGGTCCCAGCTTGGTCTTGACTCCTTGGAATCTACCCTTTGGTTTCGGAAGCCGCCAGTTGCCACCCTGACCCTTGCCTGAGCCAGGCCTCTGCTCTTTCCCTCGCTGCTTCTTGCCCGGAGGTCCTCCCAGGCGCCTCCGCTTGCCCACTCTGGGGAACATGTCTGTAGGGAGAGAAACTGTCAGGGTCGTCAACAAGAAATAAGGGGCCTCAGGTGTCCCCAGCACAGCCCCTGCACACACCCTCGTCAGGCTCCTCGCCCACAGCTTGGCGAAAATACTCGGCGTCATCCTCCTCCTCCTCCTCCTCCTCATTCCGGCTTGCTCCTGCTGCCTCTGGAGGTGCCCCAGGGTCCTCGGCATCGCTGTCCCCATCGGCCCCTGCCCGGGCTCGCTTCATGCCTGCCAGGCTCTTCTTCCTGGAGGACAAAAATGACAAAGGTTTAGGCTTGCTCAGGTGCCCACCCACCGTTCTGCCCAAGGCCTTTGCATACTTGTGGGCCTCGCGCAGTTCCTGCTTGCGCTGTAAGTTCTCAGCCTGCTGGTTCTGACGCTGGGCCTTGAGTTGCAGCTTCTCCTCCTTTGCTGCCAAGATGGCCTGAAGTTCTGCCTCAGTCTTGTGTACTGCGAGAAGACCAGACATTGTGTCAAGATAACAATGGGACCGAGCACTGCTCCCAAAGGCTGGCCTCACCCTGTTCCCTTACCAAAACTGTGGAAGAGGACATTGCCGTTCCCAACACCCTCCTGGATATTAATGAGCTGCAGTGTCATCCGGGGTCCAATCTGGAGAAACACGCATGGGAGAGTCAGGCTGGCCTCAAGACTGAGGGCTGTGTCTGTAGGAGCCGCCATGAGCTGTTCCTCACCTCTGTGAGTCGGACGGCACTCTGCTGGGCCTGCATGTTGCCACGGCCAGCCACAGCCTGGGGTAGTTCTGTGATATTGTGCTCACCATCTGGCTCCACCTCACTCTCTGACAGTGCCACACCCCTGTGGGACAGCAGGTTACCTCGAGTGCTCTACAGGCCGGCTCTGAAACCCCTGGGCTGGAACTGCCACCCACCCAGAGCCTTTCTCACGTAGCCAGCAGCTCACTGATATCTTGCAAGCGGCTCATGTTGGGAAACTTCTCCTGTAAGAGCTTCTTCATGCCCCGACTGGCACCCACGGGAACCACTTTGATGCTGCTGCAGTGGGAGAACAGAGGGAGGAGCGAAGGGTCACAGGGTCCAAGGCCAGCTCCTTGCCCTCTCCCCGCTGGGCATGCATCAGGGCGTTTACTTTGAGTCTGAGCAATCACGGGTCTCAGCAGCAGAGCTCTCATCAGGTGCATGGGGTGTCCTACTGCGAGCCCCTCCCCCACACTCACTAGTGCCGGAAGTCCAGCTCTTGGGAGTCCGGGTTGTAGTTGATGAGGAGGCAGCGCTTAATGGTGTTGAGGTTCACCTGGGGGCCAGGGAGAGGGGACCTCTGAGCTGCCCGTGGGCCAGGGCATGCAGCCAGGAACAAGTACTGATTCCCCCCAGCAGCCTGTTACTTGGGGCAAATACCAGGGATGCCCCTAGGTGTTAGAGGCTGTAACAGTATCTATAGACTGAAGCACTGGCTGAAAGTCAAAGGTGCATGAGACATCAAAGCCAACCTTCAGACTTCTAAGCGGACCTTATAATCAACTTAATCTCAGATACACTGGGGCCGGGGCTTAGCAGCTGAAACTCTAGCCCTGCTGGCTCAGCGGCTGAGGCAGTAAGATTACAAGTCTAAGCCCAGCCTGAGTTAACACAGGACCTTGTGTTAAGAAAAATGGGCAAAGATGTGGCTCAGTTGGTAGAGTGCTTGCCTACCATACACTAAGCCCAAGTATGATCACCAACACCCAAAGCCAGTTGTACATCACTCAAGGTGTACATGCAAGAGATGGAGGGCCAGAAGTTCAAGTCTGGCCTGAGACACAGAAGATCCTGTGTCTCAGTAACAGATTTACTCCAACCCCAGCCCTGCCTTTGAATTTATGATAAAGTTAGTCACTTCATGTTAGTGAGTCTTCCCACCCAACTGCCCACCCCCAACAGCTGCCCCAGATCTGGCCCACCGTGTGCACGTTGAGGGACGGGAACAGGTTCTGGAACATGGTGGCCATGAGCTTGATGTGCATGCCCTGGACGCCAAAGCTGTTGAGCACCAGAAGGGGTGGGTGGTTAAACTGCTGCTCATGCATCCGGTGTCGGCGCAGGGAGGAGACGACATCCCGCACCAGTGTGTACTGAAGAGAGGGTAGAGAGAGGCTGAGGAACATCCGTGCTGTGTGACCAGGGCCCTCCCGGTAGGCTGAGCTCACCCATCACCTCTACCCCTCACCTTGTTGATCTGGAAGGTCAAAGTGGGGCCTCCTGGGAGGCGCATCAGCTTCTGCCAGAGAAAGGATAGGTGAGGGTGGAGGGATCTGGCTCGAGGTAGGGCAAGGGGGAAGCCTTGCTCCATTGCTTCAGAGAGTTTACTTTGAAGCCAGCATCACTACTGCTCAGGGCAGGGGGTTCATCACGAGACAGGAGCAGCTGGGGCCGAGGGATGGAAAGGCATGGTGCCCACTCACCAAGTACACACTGTTGTCTGTTTTGCTCAAGACAAGGAAGTGTGTGACCCCGAGGGGGCCGGCCACTGCCACACAGTCCTTCAGTGAGTTCTTCTTTCGAACCTGATAATTACAAAAAGGAATGGATACAAATAGCTCTTATTGAGCAAAGAAGCTTAAACTGGGGCTTCTAAGATGTTTTTTCTGACACCCCCAACTTTCCAGGGGTACCGAGCCTTGACTGTATTCCTGAGCCCAGCACTTAAACCTCACTATGCACCCACGGCTGGCCTCCAACGAAAGATCCCCCTCGGGCTGGAGAGATGGCTCAGTGGTTAAGAGCATTGCCTGCTCTTCCAAAGGTCCTGAGTTCAATTCCCAGCAACCACATGGTGGCTCACAACCATCTGTAAAGAGGTCTGGTGCCCTCTTCTGGCCTGCAGACGTACACACAGACAAAATATTGTATACATAATAAATAAATATTCTTAAAAAAATAAGGAAAAAAAAAAAGAAAGATGCTCCTCGCTTCTCTTCCCGAGCGCTGCGCTTTCGGCTGTGCATCATGCCCGGTTCAAGCGGTGCTGGGGATGCAGCCGAGGCCTCCCACGTGGAAAGCAGGCATTCTGCCACTGAATTTAACTATCAACCTCCGGCCGCCGCGAAGTCGAACCCCGGGACTAGAGTGTGGAGAGATGGGGGATGCAGACCTGTAGACGAGAGGCGGTGAGTGGCTCCATGACCCGCCGCACATCCAGGCTGAGCTGCTGAACACTGCGACCCGCCCGGCCTCGCGTGAACACGAACGAGTGCGGCTGAGCGGCGTAGGCCTCGAGGTTGCGGAGCTGGGCCTGGGCGCGAGCGCGCTTCTGGTGCCGGGACTGCAGGGGCGACAGGCGGGCGGTGAGCGCCCCGGCTTCGGTCGCGACCCCACCTGCGCCCCATGCCCGCCGGGGCCGCAGCGCCTCACCCGCCCCGACTGCCCCATGCTGCCGGCTCCTCCACGAGGTTGCTTCTGAAGCTGCTTCCGGCGCACACTGTTCACTTCCGACGCGGGACGCTCTGTGTGGCCCACTTCCGGCGCCGCGTGGCTCGCATCTTCCCACTTCCGGCACACCCGCCGGTGATGTCACTCCGCGGGCTTTAGTACTAGGTCTTTTAGGGGAGTTAAGACAGAAATCTTTGCCGGGCGATGGTGGCGCACGCCTTTAATCCCAGCACTCGGGAGGCAGAGGCAGGCGGATTTCTGTGAGTTCAAGCTAGTGCCAGGACAGGCTCCAAAGCCACAGAGAAACCCTGTCTCGAAAAACCAAAAAAAAAAAAAAAAAAAAAAAAAAAGAAAAAAAAAACAAAAACA